AATCAAATATCGCAGTCTTCAGTGTGGGTTGCACTTCAACATAAAGAAAACAAAAATCCTCACCACTGGACCAATAAATAACATCATGATAACTGGAGAAAAGATTGAAGTTGTCATAGGCTTCAGTTTGCTTGGATCTACTATCTATACTCATGAAAACACAAGTCAAAAAAACAAACGCCGTCCTGCAGTAGACAAATCATTGCACAAGACTTCTTTAAAGTGTTCAAGAACAAAGATGTCAGTCTGAGGACTAAAGTGTGCCTGACCCAAGCCATAGTATTTTCAGTAGTCTCATATCCATGTGAAAGTTAGACAATGAATAAGGAAGGCCATAGAAGAATTGCTGCATTTGAGTTATGGTGCTAGAGAAAATTTTTTTTAAAGGTACCATGGACTGTCAGAAGAACAAACAAATCTGTGTTGGCAGAAGTACAACCAGAATGGTCTTTCAAAGCCAGGATGATGAGACATCATCTGTCATACTTCAGCCACATTATCAGTAGGGACCAGTCCCTGGAGAAGGACATCATGCTTAGTAAAGTGAAGGTTCAGTTAAAAAGAAACCCCCAACTAGATAGAGCGGCACCATAGCAGCAGCAATAGGTTCAAGCATAGCAACAAATGTGCAGGACCGGGTGTTATTTTGTCCTGTGGCACATAGTGTTGCTATGGGTCAGAACCAACTTGACAGCACCTAGTAACAATGCCTAGGATATCAAACTTTTTCACTCCATGGATATTTACACAGGGTTGTTATGGGTCAGGATTGAATTGATGGCACTTAACAACAACAACAACAAGTAACAATGCCTAGGATATCAATCTTTATACATTATATTTCATTTCTGACAGCTTTCGAGTTTCCAAGATTTTTTACTTTATACATTACATGTTCTGATTAGTAATGAATGTTTGCAGCTGTTTCTCCTCATTTTGAGTAATGCCTCATCAGTAAATGAAGGTCCCGAAAGCTTTACTCCACTCCCACCATTATGATCAACTCTAAGGAGGCAGCTCTTCCCCAGTAGTATATTGAGTGCCTTCCAACCTGAGGGACTCATCTGTACTGTTTCTGACATGTTCTGCTGTTATTCACAAGGGTTTCAATGACTAACCACAATTGTGAGGTTGGCGCAGGACCAGGCACTATTTCATTCTGTTGTGCATAAGGTCACTATTAGTCGAAACCGACTTTGGCACCTCACAACAACAACCATTCAAAAGCAGTTTGCCTCTCCTTCTTCCTTGTCTTCTTAGTTGAAAACTGTGCTGAAACCTGTCCCCCATGGGTGCCCCTGCTGTATTTAAGATACTGGTGGCGTGGCTTTCAGCATCACAGCAATACTCAAGTCTCTACAGTGTGGTAAACTGACAGGCATTTGGTGGATAGAGTTGATTATATTATATCTCATCATGATGGATAACTGGAGTCCTGGTGTGGCACTGTAGGATAGGTATTGTACTGCTAAACGCAAGGTCAGCAGTTCAAACCCACCAGCTGCTCCTTGGAAACCCTATACAAGGTAGCTATTAGTTGGAACTGACTCGAAGGCACTAAACAACAACAAACAACCATGAGGGATAACTATATCTCAACTGCCAAACAACTTGAATCCTGTCAAGTTATCACAAAACCATTAACTATCACAGATTTATTTTCATTTTCTTCATCTTCAGCCTGAACTTGCATATTTATGGTGTGTTCCACAGTTTTTCCTGGTCTTGTTTTAACTGATGGTATTGAGTTTCTCCATTGTCTATTTTCATGGATGTAATCAATTTGATTCCTGTGTCTTCTCTCTGGGAGGTCTACATTTTGAACCCTTTATGTTGTGGAAAAAATGTATTTGCAATGACTAAGTCCTTGGTCTTGCAAAATTCTACCATGTGATCACTAGCATTATTTCTATCACCAAGGTCATATTTTCCAAGTACTGATCCTTCCTTTTTGTTTCCAACTTTAGCATTCAAATCACCAGAAATTATCAGTTCATCTTGATTGCATATTTGATTAATTTCATACTGAAGAAATTGGTAGAATTCTTCAATTTCTTCATCTTTGGCTTTGGTGTTTGGTGCATAAATTTGAATAATAGTGGTATTAACTGATCCTCTTGTAGATCTATGCATTTTATCCTATCACAGACAGCATTGTACTGTAAAGATAGATCTTGAAATGATATATGTGACAACATTCCTCTTCAGTTTGTCATTTCCGGCATAGTAAACCATATGGTTTTCTGATTCAAAATGGCCACTACCACACTATCAATCTGTTTCAGCTCATGAGTGTTTAGGATGTCAGTCTTTATGCATTTTATTTCATTTATGATGACTTCCTTTTTTCCTAGATTTATACTTCATACATTCCACGCTTCAGTTACTAAAAATGTGCTGCTTTTTCTTTTCATTTTGAGTTGTGCCCCATCAGCAAATGAGGGTTCCCAAACCTGCTCCATCCGCATCGGTAAGGTGAACTCTGCATTGAGGAGGCAGCTCTTCCCCAGTCATAGAGTTCCTCACAACCTGAGGGACTCATCTTCAGGCACTATTACCGCAAGGTTTTGCTGCTATTCATCCGGCTTTCAGTGGCTAACTTTACAGAAGTGATCTGTCTCTACTTCTTCAGAGTCTGTCTTAGTCTGGAAGCTCAGCTGACACCTCTCCACTGTGGGTGACCCTGCTGGTATTTAAAATACTGATGGCATAGCTTCCAGAATCACAGCAACATACAAGCCACCACTGATACAACAGTTTTCTGAAATTATGTGTGTGCTTAATTATTTACATTAAATTGCTCAAACACTGCTTCACTCTTCAGAGTTCAGTTTTTGAGTGTTTATAAAGTTCTGTGGAGTCCAGGTGTGGCATTGTAGGATAAACACTGAAAGGAAAGAGGTTTGAACTGCAAGGTCGGGGGTTCAAACTTACCAGTCACTTCTCGGAAACCTTATACAGGATCGTTATGAGTCAGACAGCATGTAACAACAACACTAACATGGGGTCCTAGTGTGGTGCTGTAGGATAAGCACTGGACTGCTAGCCACAAGGTTGGTGGTTCAAATCCACCACTACTTGGAAACCCTACACAGGGTCTCTCTGAGTTAGAACTGACTAGACAGCACTTAACAAAGCATACTATTAACAAACTTGTTGTTGTTAAATGCCCTAGAGTCAGGTCGACTCTAAGCTTCTCTTTTGAAGCTTTTATAACAAATTTTAGAAATCAAAGGGGGAGGGAATGGAGAACTCTGGCGGCTGTCAAAAAGCACACGAATGAGCAGCCCACGTTGTGCTATGTTGCAAAACTTTCAGCATCTTCCCTCCCCGCCCCCCCGCCCCGTTGAGTATTTCACCGTGTTATACCCGGTTCGTCCACGTCCCTCAGCACGACCCCAGAAAGTCATGAACTCCTGTTCGCTACAAAAGGTGAAAAACTCTGCTTTCCCTGCAGGCCCTCTCAGAGCCAAAGGGACTGGGGTTGACTTCCCGCCACCCGGGCCCTCCTCCGCCTCGCCCTCGCGGGTCAAGTCCTCCCGAAGGCTCTCCGAGCGGCAGGTCTTGGCGCCAACCGGGTGGCGGCGCTGTCCGACCCGCGTGCAGCCGCCTTGGGCCCAAGGGAGGCGGAGGTAGGGCCGCGGGAGGAAGGGGAGGGAGCGCGGTGCGCGGCTGCTCTCGCGTGCTCTCGCGCCGTTCGCGTGACCGCTGTGTGTGTGAGTGTGTGAGTCGCCGGCTCCCGGGGCTCGGACCGGCGGGCGCGCGCTGCTGCGAGGAGCGTTCGGGTCCGGGTTGGCTGCCTCGGCCAGCGCGAGAGGCGGGCGGGCGGGTTGTGGGGTCCTGGGCTGACACACGCGCACACGCTGCCGGCGGAGCTTGCTCTGAGGCTGCTCTTCCTCGGCCCGACGGAGAGCGGCAGTGTCTCCCCGCCCAGCGCACACTCGCCCCGCGTCTCCCCCCGCGGCGGCTGCTCTTCTTCGGCACCGCCAGCCCCAGTGCCGCTCCGGGGCGGGCGGCGGCGGGACCGCGGAGCCGCTTTGTGTGCAGCCTGGCGAGGGGCGGCGGCGCAACCACCTGACAGAGGCCCTGGCTCTGGATGCACCTTCCGGCCGCATGAGGAGAAGGTAAAGGCGGCGGTGGCGGCTCGGCTCCCGCCCTCGGCGGGTAGAGGGAGGCGACGGAAGAGGGGCCGGGGGAGGGGGAGGCAGCGGGTCCGAGGCCCGGAGGGGCTGCGCGAAGGTGCCGAGAAGGCCTTGGCGGCGCCGGGAGACCCGGAATGCCTGGGGGCGACGGGAGCCGCCGGAGCCCCGCAGTCGAAGTTGAAGGAACAAAATGTGAAGTGCAGAGCCGCGTCAGCCGCTTCCTGGCGTGGGCTTGGGGGTGGCGGGAGGCTCGTTTGCCTCTCCCGCGGGGGTGGGAGAGCGGGACAGCGGAGGGTGGGGCGGGGGTGCCCGGGGGGGTCCCGGGGCTCAGCCCGGCAAGGGCATTTTGTTCCCGGGAGCGCCGCTGCGTGGGGGTCCGCCTGGCTCCCGAGTTTTGCGGCCTAAGCCGAGCCCTATAGGCCTCGCGTCTCTCACCCCGGAGGGGCCGGCCGGGAGGGGACTCGGCGCTCCTCTGCGTCCCCGCGGAGGTCTCGGGGTTCCCGCCAGCCTTCCGAGGCCGCCAAACTTCTGCCCTTCGGGCTTGAGGACGGATTTAATTGTGAAAGGAGCGCTGGGAAACTCCTGGCGCGGCGCGGCTCCTCCTGCGGCCGGGAGAGCCCCCGGGCCCGGGGCTGGCACGGGTGGGAACGACGAGTCGGCCGGCAGAGAGCCGCCCGGGGAGGGCGAGGGGGTCGGGGGGCCGCCTGGCCCCGGCCTCCCCGGAGAAAGGGCCCTTTCTGGATTAGACATTTTTGAAATGAAAAAAGAGGTTACAAAGTCGCCCCTTTCCCGCTGAACTTTTGTTTTCTGACCGATAGAGGCCGGTAGAGGACTGTGAAAGAAAAGTTGTCCCCCAGGATGGACTTCTCCACCACGCAGCCCAAGCCAGCCACTGCCCTCTGTGGTGGCGTCGTGAGTGCTGATGGGAAGATCGCCTACCCTCCCGGGGTGAAGGAGATCACCGATAAGATCACCACCGATGAAATGATCAAACGACTCAAGGTAGGCGTTCTTATGTCTTTGCTACGAAGTGCTCTTCTCCTGAGCTATGTATATACTCCACTGCTGTTGTTGTTGTTAGGTGCCATCGAGTCGACACTGCTCGATCCTGGGCCAACCTCACTACTGTTGCCACTGTTGAGTCCATTAATGCTGCCACTTGGCCGATCCATCTCGTTGGGGGTCTTCCTCTTTTTCTCTGAACCCTCCACCTTACCAAACATGATATCCTTCTCCAGAGACTGGTCCCTCCTGACAATATGTCCAAAGTATGAGACCCCCAATGTGTCCAAAGTATGAGGCCTCCAAGGAGCATACTGGCTGCACTTCTTCCAAAACGGATCTATTGGTTCTTTTGGCAGCCCATGGCACTTTGAATATTCTCCTCCAACACGGTAATTCAAAAGCATCAGTTCTTCTGTGGTCTTCCTTATTCACTATCCAGCTTTTTAGCGTTACTGAGTGGCATAGGCAGTTAAGTGTTGGATTACTAGCTGAAAGGTTGGTAGAAGCACCTTGGAAGACAGGCCTGGATATCTGCTTCCAAAAGGTCTTGTTGTTATTAAATGCCATCAAGTCGACTCAGACTCATAGTTACTCTGTAAAGGATTTGCGAGGAGCCAACTGGTGGGTTTGAACTGCTGATCTTGTGATTGGAACTCTAGTGCTTATAAAAGATCATGTACCACCTTGAAAACCCAAGGAGCAATTTTACACTGCATACATGAGGTCACCACGAGTGAAGTTCCTGTCTTAAATGAGAACTTCACCTATTATGATTTTTCTACATCAATGTCTTGAATATATCTTTGAATAGAAGCTGTTGGATAAGCACTGGACTACTAACCAAATATCTTTGGTTCAAACCCACCAGCTGCTCCTTTTAAACTTTATACAGGGTCAGTGTGAATCAAAACAGACTCAATGGCACTGACATTGGGTAGGGATGTAACCAGTGTGGAGAAATTGAAAAGTATGTTTTTTTTAATCTTGCTATTTTTCAAGTGTAAGAATGCTAGGTTTTCAAAAAAATTTCTTTGAAATACTTTGTTTAGTGTCAATACAGTTGCTTGTAACCTTAATGTAAACAATAAATTTGCCTTGGAAAGTGTATATTGTCATCAGCTTTTGATTTAAAGGCAAAAAAAAGCATTTTTAAAAAGCAATTGCAGGGATGTGCCCTTTGGTTGTTTGAATGGTTATATATTCCTGAGTGCTTTGGTGTGCATCCAAAAAAAACAGGGAATGGAAGCAAATGCTGTTGAATGATGGTGCAAGAAGGGGATTGTAGTGATTGCAATGAAATGAAATACAATAGGATGAATGTAAAGCTGATGGTCTAAATTTATCACCCAATTCATAATATAAAAACTTAAAAAAAAAAGGTGTATACTTTTTAATATCTAGAAGCTTAAATATGTTACAGTATAATTAAACTTTGACAGAAAGTAGTAAGTTTTCAAAGTTCAAGCTGGAAAAAAGAAACTTTGTGTTTTTTTAAATTAGTTTTTTAATAGGGAATCAGCTTATTTAGTTTAGCTTGGTGGGTGGAAATGAGGTCAAGAGTGTTAAGTTTTAACCCTATGTTGATCAGACTTTTTGCTTTCTGTTCTGTGGCTAGCAGTATCATAAAATAAATCTGTTTTTGTGAAAGGGTCAGTTTTAAATACTTGTTCTCCACCAGGGTGACTGCCTCCCAAGGGATATTTGGTAGTATATTTGGTTGTCACACTGGAGCCCAAGTTGAAGTAAGGAGTCCAGGTAAAAGGTGTTGAAATTTTACAATAGGGCATTAACAATAGGAAGAGAGCAGTGCTGATTCAGCAGTCCTGGTGTATCACTGCAGGATAAACACCTGGACCTCAAGGTTGGTTTGAACCACAGGGTTGGTGGTTCAGAACTACCAGCCATTCCTTGCAAACTATACAGAGACACTATGAGTCAACCTACTAGATTGCACTTACCATGCTGGAGACAGGTTCAGTCCATAGCCTGTGCACCTCAATGTAGCCACCACCCATTTGTCAATGGAGGCTTGCTGTTCCGGATTTTTCAGGAAAAGGGCCTGACAATCTGCTTCCCAAACATTACCCAGTGAGAACCCTGTGGATTACAGTGATCCAGTCTCACTGTGCATAGAGTCACTGTGAGGTGGGGAAGTGACTCCATGGCAGCTAACAGCAACAGGATAGTTTGAATAAAGAGAGAGTGGTGATCCTAGAAACTTTTCAGTTAAGAATCATTGGATTTAGTGGAAGGTGAGGGAAGAAACAATGTTAACGATGTTTCTACCTTAGGCAATTTGGTCAAAATGTATCTTAGGGAATGATCTTTCCCCCTTTGCTAGTAGAGTTTAGCTACTGTTGCATGCTGGTTCCTACTCATAGAAATCCTATAAGGGGTTTCCAAGGCTGTAAATCATTACAGGAACAGAAAGCCTCATCTTTCTCCTGTGGAGCAGCTGGTAGATTTGAACTGCTGACCTTGGGGTTAGCAGGTTGATGTGAATAAACCACTACACTCCCAGGGATCCTTCTAGAACTTAGTATAGTAGTGTTTTTGTTGTTAAGTGCCATCCAGTCAGTTCCAACTCACAGTGACCCTGTATGGGGTTTCCAAGGAGTGACTTGTGGGTTTGAACAGCTGATCTTGGTTAGTATTGTCAGTTCCATCCATTGTTATTGTTGTTGTTGTTCAGTACCATGGAGTCGGTTCCGACTCATAGCGACCCTGTATAGGGTTTCTGAGGCTGTTAATATTTATGGGAGCAGAAAGCCTTAGCTTTCTCCCGTGGAACAGCTGGTAGTTTCGAACTGCCAACCTTGACATTAGCAGCCCGATTTGTAACCACTACGCGACCAGAGCTAAGCAACACTGTATAGGGCTTCCAAGGAGTGGCTTGTGAGCTTGAACCATCGACCTTGCCATTCAAACCGATTTTGCAGTCCAGCGCATTAGCCCACAGTACCATACCAGGACTTCCTAGCAATTGTATATATAATGTTGTGTTTCAATGAATTATTCGAGTATTCCTGTAGTTTTGTGGGTTTTTGTTTTTTTTTAATCAGATTTTGTAATTTATTACCTCTTAGAAAGGAATGGGGAGCGTGGTGGCTCTGTAGGATAAATATTGGACTGTGAAACACAAGGTCAGTGGTTTGAGCCCATGGGATAAAGATGGGGCTTTCTGCTCCCAGAAAGATTTACAGCCTCGGAAACCCTATACAGGGTTGCTGTGAATTGGAACCACTTAGATGGCACCCAACAAGAAGGAAGGAATAGGACACAATTCCTTCCATTAAAATAAATCTAAATGCTTACTTGATGCTTCTAAAGGCTATATCCAGTGCTTTGAGTTTCTGAAAACTGTGAAACATGAGATTGAGTTAAAAATTTATGAATTTTTAATTTTTATTGTTTTCAGATTAACACAGAAACCTTGAATTTTAGCAGTGTGTATTTTGGTTGGAAAAATAACATTTTGAATGTATTGGCATTTTCAATTTGAAAATATATTGATATCAAATATATATATAACTACAAGTCTAGAATGAGGCTTGTATTAGTATATCCATTTCTTGTAAGTTCATTTGGAAGTTAAAATTGACATGCATATTAACTAATTTAAATGTCCTACCTGTAAAATTTTGCTTGTTTCAACAATTCTTAAAATTAAAAAAAATTTCTCTTGCCTGCCTTTGCTGAAACTTTGGATGTTGTACTTTTTAGGGATCCTGTTTTAATGTGTTACTTTCTTACTGGAAATTCAGCTTTTTGACAATGCCTGAATGTGTTTTTTAAGGAGCTCTGGTAGCGTAGTGGTTACGAATTGGGCTGCGAGCCTTATGGTCAGCAGTTCAAAACTACCAGCTGTTTTGCCGGAGAAAGATGAGGCTTTCTGTTCCCGTAAAGATTTATAGTCTCGGAAACCCTGTACAAAGTCACTATGAGTCGAAACCGACTCCATGGCACATAACAATTGTGTTTTTTTTATAACTTTGGACTCTGTGTGTGTGTTATTAGAACTTTAGTTAAGGCAAATTTTATAAATTTTATAATTTGTGATTGCTACTGTGGAGTCCTGGTGTGGCGCTGTAGGATCAGCACTGGACTGCGAACCACAAGGTCAGCAGTTCAAACCCACTAGCTGCTAGTCAGAAACCCTATACAGGTCACTATGAATCGTAATGACTTGACAGCACTTAACAAAAAAAACAACTACAATTGCTACTATAAAATTGCAACAATGTTTAAATACTATATAAATACCAAGTGTACTTGTTGTTAAGTGCCAGTGCCGTTGATTGCGACCCTGTATAGGGTTTCTAAGGAGTGACTGGTGAGCTTGAACCACCAACTTTGCAATTCAAACAACTTTGCAGTCTGGTGCATTAACCCACATCAGGACTCCAAGCTTCTTGTTGTTAGGTGCCATCGAGTTGGTACCAACACATAGCGACCTTATGCACAGCAGAACAACAAAAACACTGCTCAGTCCTGGGCTAACCTTACTACGGTTGCCATGCTTGAGTTCATCAATGCTGCCACTTGGCCAGTTGGGGTTTTCCTTTTTTTCTCTGATCCTCCACCTTACCAAACATGATATCCTTCTCCAGCGACTGGTCACTCCTGACAATATGTCCGAAATTTAGGACATGTAAAATGTTGATCAGAGATACTTGTTCCATTCTGTTCAGTTTTCAGGAAGCAAAAAAGCATTTTTACTGTGAAAACATCATTTTGGAATTAGAATGATTTTGAAAGATATTCTGGAACCTCTCCTACTTCACAGATGATGAAAGTGAGGCCCAAAGTGGCCAAGTGACATTTACTGAGATCAGTCATAGGGCAGGTTAATGGCAGAACCCTGGCAATGGCATGTTATTTACTTTGATTCTTAGAGCTGTTTTCTTCCAAGGAATCCAAGAGTAAAATTAAGAAGTTGTGGAAGCAATTGTGATGCTTTGAAGCTTCTTTATGTCCTTGTTGTTATTGTTGTTGTT